ATCTAGCAGTCCAAACCGCCTCACAGCCTTTATTTGTGATTATTGTGAGCTTTAATGCTTGACTTTTCAGTGTTTTTTTCTCAGTTTTGGCAGTTATATATGCAAACTACAGAGATTTAGGTTTATATTATTTAGATTTATATTACTTATTTATTAAACCTAAGTTGTCTTGAATGTAGCTTTGTTACTTCTTGATAAAAGACAAGGAAGAAATAAATTAACTGTATGTCCACTTCAAAGTGTAGTTTATTTAAAGTATAAAGTTTTAGCATTATATATTCAGATGATGTCATGAACTACTAGTACACAGAATAAGCACCAAATATATAAAATCACATGTCCAAGAAAAGAAGTAAAACAAAATGCTTTCACACTTATTTTGGTAGAACATCCAAAAACAACAGAATATTGTTCTATATAGAACCATGAACACTCAAAGAACCATTTGCATGCTTAAATGGTTCTTTGCATGGTGAAACGGTTCCTCAGATTGATGGAGAATGTGTTGTATATGCTTCTGTACAGATCCCTTTTGAAAATGGTTCTATATAGCACCAAAAAAAGGTTCTCCTACATACTTAATAAAGATGGTTCTTCAAGGGTTCTTTAGTAGAGAAAATGGTTCCATATACCACCATGAACAATCACAGAAGCCTTTGCATGATTAATCAGTTCTTTGCATTATGACTTGGTTCTTCAGACTGATGGAGAATGTGCTGTATATGGTTCTGTATAGAACCTTTTAAAAAATGGTTCTATATAGCACCAAAAAGATTTCTTCTATTGTTACAATGTCAAGCTTGTCGATGGCAAGCAATGTCAACAACCCTTTTCAAAACAGTTCTATATAGAACCATCTACAGCACATTCTTCATACAGCACAAACCTTTTAATCATGCAAAGGGTTCTTTGAGTGTTCATGGTTCTATATGGAACCATTTTCTTTACTAAAAAGCCTTTTTAAGAGTGTATTGTTATGATGTCAAGCTTGTAACATTAGAAGAACCCTTTTTGGTGCTATACAGAACCATATACAACATAGTCTCCATCAGTCTGAAGAACCATTTCACCATGCAAAGAACCATTCAACCCCTTAAATGGCCAGAGTCCATCGGCAGGCCCAGAGTTTTATTACACACTTCTATAATCTAAGAATAGCTCAGCTAGTTTGCATTGGAATCCCAGTAGTGACTGAATAATAAGCCTTAGTATGCATTAAGCTTGAGATTTTAAGGGGTTTACTATGCAAATGGTTCTTTGAGTGTTCATGGTTCTAAATAGAACCATTGTTTTTACTAAATAACCCTTGAAGAATCTTTTTCAGTATTTTTCAGGGAATAGCAGTTATATCCCCCCCCAACATCTTCCAACAACAAACACTGTTCAAAACTGTCCATAAAAGTGCACAGAACATCAAGATAAAGTTACGTTTCATGATGAAATATTACAATCTAACAATAAAGGAAGCTCAGTGCAACTTTTATACAGTGATAGGAAACACAGCAGCTCAAAGAAAGCTCAGATTCTATGTGCTGCTATGTTTCACTGTCCAGTATGAACATGCAAGCGCCGTAACTCTCCTGGCAGCAGATTTATATGTGTTTAACCCTCCTGTTATCTTTGGGGTCAATCTGACCCCATTCATTGTTTAACATGTCTAAATGAATGACATCATTTTTTGCTTCATATTTAATGACTTTTCCTAATTTAATGAGGACAGCTGGGTAAACATGAAACATGATGACATGTTTTCAATGTCCTGTACACATTTGTACGCACTGGTGTTCTTCGGGGTCAGTTTGACCCCAGGCTGTTTTAGCTGTATAAGACCTGAGAAATATCAGCATTTCACACACATTTGTTTTGATCATATTACATCACTACAACATGAAAATGAGTAACAATTCAGCCTTTCTGCCTTTCTATCTCTGAGGCAAATGGTCAAGTTTTCCAATTTGGACCAACGACCAACTAGGTGAACATATTTGCAACAGCGCCACCCTGAGGCAGATCAGTGCTTCCTCGGGTGCCTAGCCTGCTTCTGGTTTGCCCTGAATTTGCATTTGAGCAACTGTTTTTCCTTAACGCAAAGCATAACGTCATAATACGTTTATTTTCAAGGACCCCACAGAATTTTGATTTTGAGACATTTAGCGGGATCAAGACATTAATTAGGGGGTCTCGGACCCCCCAGGACCCCCTGTATTTCGCACCTTGGCGAGAACCGCTGATAGTTCAACATGGGGGAGAGTTAAACATAATTCCCACCAGAACTTTGACATTTCCTGGACTTTCAAACTGCTGGGGTCAAAGGCTGTGTTCAGACTGCAGGAAAATCAGATTTGTGTCTCAAATCAGATCTTTTGAGACGACTGTCTGCATTGTGATTTGCAAGTGATCAGATCTTATTTGTGTGTCCAGACATCACCAACCCATCTGCATGGCTTGCTGCGGCAACAACGTAGGTGTCAGTAACTATGGCTATGTTCAAACTGCCAGTCCAAACCCAATTTTTGGCACATCCAGATTGTATTCAGATTTGTTTTTGCTAGTCTGAACAGCTGAAAACCACACTTTGCAAATCGGATCCAACAGCTCCCCAAAGTACCATTCTAAGGAAGAGATTTTAAATCATAAAAAATCCAGAGTGTTGAAAGTGCTGGCATTCAAGAAGAGCGCCAAAGATTCATTCTTATGCCTGAGAATTCTCTTTAAAATTCTTTGGCATAAGAATGAATCTTTGGCGTTCTTCCTGAATCCCAGCACGTCCGTCATTCTGGATTCGACACTGTTGTTGTTTGTCGCATTGTGAGTGACACAAAAGACACTCTGGTTTGCAGAAATCGGATTTCACGTGCTGTTCAGACAATTAAAAATTAATCTGGATACAATCTGGATATGCCAAAATCAAATTTTGGCTGTCAGTCTGAACAGGCCAAATTGACCCCAGGGATTAAAAAATGTTAGTAAAAGTTGATTGACTGCTCTAACAAGGCTGTAATTTTTATATTTTGATAAATATAATATTTTTTAATCTTCTGTGAATAATATTTTGGGCCTCAGGTATTATGAAGGTGGTGTTATGGTCCGATCCGTCCCTCTTTTGGACAGTTTGGACACCCCTGATAAGCGTCCATGTAACACAGAATCTGACTGCTTTTGATAGCTGTGTCTTGTCATATGCTTGAATATCTCCAAACTGAGATTCCTAAGCTGAGCTCTGCCACACGGGGCACACACACCGATTTAACTCCTAACTCCCTCACTCGCTCACACACACACACGCAGCTCAATGGAGGAGCAGCAGCCCGGAGATCATCGGGCACACGAAGAAACACCCTCGGCGCCATGGACGACAGAGGGAGAAAAGACCGAGCGAGTCCTACAAGAGACAGCTGAACAACAATGTTCATTGCAACTGTGAGTTCAAGCTCCAGGAAACGCAGAAGGAGAAAAAACAGGTTCGCTCACTCAGCAGCGTTTTACTCGGGGACACTCTGCTAGAGCCGGTTAGCTAGTTAGCTTAATGGAGGAAAAAAGTTGATGACTTCACATAGACGACAGTTTACCCGGTGCAACTTCCAAGTATAACGCCGTAACCGTCTTGTCATTGCGGTTAAGTAGTCGTTTTGTGTGGCGAAATGAAAACTATTCACCCTGAGTGGCAGCTATGGTGCGAATTTGCTTCGCTAGCGTTAGCTAGCAGCACACAATTTTGACAAGTTAGCTTTAGCCAACCTGGGGTAGCTAACTAACCTAACTGTCTCAAACTGACAGAAATGTCATGTACACCCTTCACACTGGGGCATACATGTGAAAAACACTTAACACACGTTTCCTAAAGTGTTTGCTGCGAAACCAATTTAGTGCTTAAAAGGGTTATTTGGCTGGTTGGTGTGTTAGCCGTTAGCATTTCGTTAGCTGGTTGTTTAGCAACGGCACCCGCGTCACCGGCTGCGCTGGAATCTTCTATTGGGGGAGTTCGACTCGGTTCAAGGCACTGATTCTTTCGAACTGTTCAATTCAGTGAATCGAGCGACGGTTTTAACGAGTCATTTTTTGGGAGGGGGCACAATCACAGTTTGATAACACAGGAAGTGGGGAAAATGGGAAACCCTAATTAAAATGGAAACCCTGCTAGACCGCTTCCAAGCATCTAATCCACAATGGAAGATGAGTGAGGTAGATTTTTTAGAGAAGAGTGTTTTTGGATGTCTGGTTCCTGTCACCAGCACTGTGATCAATTCTGACTTGCTGATTGACTTTATACCAGAGTGTATTGCATCAAACCACTCAGTGCCTTTGTTTACATCTTAAAGAGGAATTACACCCATTTTTCAAAATTTCTGCGTAATTTGTTGGTTGAGATGTAAACAGCGTCATTCAGGGTGTACAACACTAATATAGCCATTTTATTCACTGCCAAAACCACCAGTGAACCTACACGTGCACACAAGTTTTATATGCAATGGTAATGATGGTACAACAGTCATAAATCTGGAAAAGTAAGTTTTCTTTTTTGACTATTTTGCCTTACAACACTCTTGTATCCTTCCACCATGAATTGATTTAAAATAAGTTGATTAAAATACGCAAATATCACAAAACTATCATCAAACAGTGTCTCAGACATCAGGCTGAGTATTCATTACCATTTCATGTAATAACTTTGTGTAAGGGATCTTTTAGAGGTGTTAAACTCCTCAGATGTCTGGTTCCTATCACCACCACTGTGAACAATTCTGACTCTGTAAGTTTCTCTAAAATGTCGCATTTTAGGCCAAACCACTGATTTTGTGGATGTAGAAATTTTCAAAAATCAGTGGAGTTCCCCTTTAACCGTCTGAGTATGTTTTTTAATTTGGTGTTAAAGTAATTTGGCGATTAATGTACTGGTTTCATGAGGTTAAATGACGAAAACCTCTATCAAAGTTAGACTTGAGTGAGTTATTAGACGTTTTCAGCCTGCACTGTATTTATATGAGACTTGAGAATCGGTTCGACTGATTTAGTGAAAAGAATCGGTTCAAAAGAACCGAGTCGTTGACGAGTCGGACGTCGTCCGTTTCCTGCCCGCCATGTTAAAGCCAAAAGTCCCAGCTGCAGCCGTGCCGACAAGTTTCGCTCATAAATCTCACCGCCGTAGTTCAGTACTGAGTATTTACACTCCACTGCCTCTGTTCACAGAGTTTTATTCGCGTCTGAGGTTGCGTGTAACTCACGTTTTAGGCGTTATAAAATGCCAAGTCATTTTGTATTCAAAGGGGGGACGAAAGCTAACGTAAGCAAAACCTCGCTGAGCTTAGCTGCTCTGAGGACACGGTCACTGCAACAACTAACCAACTGTACAGTCACTTCAAGGCTCAATACTGTGCTGCAAACTAACTAAATAGTGGCTTTTTAAATAAATCTCTCAGCGGAGGACTCATTTCATCAGCATTCAGCTGTCCAGTCAACCCCCTGCGTTTTTCAGCAGATACAGCTGAGTTAGCCACAATGCTGGGCCTGCTCCACCTGGCTAAACGACGGGCTCAGCATTTCTGATGACCTAATTATCGAGCTAACGTAAAAATACTGCCACTTATTTTGCTCACTTGTGTTCACTGCCTTGTCTGAAGAAACTACTGTCTTTTAACTATTCTAACTGTTAACTTCCCAGAAAAATTGGAACAAACATGTCTTGCTAGCTGCCAAACAGTGTTTACTTTCACCTCAGCTAAGTTAAAAAAGTCTTGTAAGGCAAACAGCTTGTTTTGTTTTAGTTTCAATAGTTTCATAGTCCAGAACCCTCTCTTTCCGTCGCACTTTATTGTTTATGATTGGTTTTGCTAGCTAACTGCACCGAGAAGCATTAAAGATTTTCCAGGAAGATTATATATAGTCCTGCTTTGGCTCTGGCTCTCCGCCACATGACTCATTCCGTCTTGGTGGATAGCATCACATTTTGCTCTGTCATGGTGGCCTTGGATCATTTCACCTCATTTTTCCTCCTCATGTGGTGTATTTTTTTTCTCAGAAGAGACACTTTTACATGTTCATTATTTCTACTAACCTTCTGCTTGTCCTTGTGTGTCTCAGACAATGGTAAACTGAATAGCTTCAACCTGGGCGAGGAGACGATACCGAGGATGACTCAACAAGCATTCCAGATCCCCCTGAAAAAGAGTGAAGGCAGGAATTTATTGAATGTCTGAAGGGAGGACTGACTGCAGGGGTTGCAGCATCAGTAGGCAGCCAAGACACTCCTGAGCATACTGACAGTATGGAGGGAAATAAGACCTCTGGTTTACAGCAGTGTGAGGTCAAACATTTGGACGAGAAGGATCCAGTGCTGTCCCTCAATGGAGAAGTGACCCTCAGTTCTGGTTATATTACAAACGGTTACTCCACCAAAGCTGCTGCAGATAATGACGGTAGCGGATCCGAGCGTGGATACACTACCCCTAAAAAGCGGAGGGCTAGACGCAGCAGCATGAAAGGCGCAGAGAATGTGAACCGGGACAAGGAGAAGGCTGTGCAGCAGGGGATTATGTCTTATTCCAAGCAGGACCTGGAGACCTCAGGCCAAGAGGCTGCTGGGAAAGTGGTGAACTCTAGGCCTAATTGCACAAGGACTTGCCTTAGAACAGAGGTGCACACAGGTGTTCGTCGAACCGGCGTTCAGGAGATGACCCCTGTGGGCGAGGTGCAGTGCAAAAACTCTGACAGTAGGGCCTCAGGCCCCATTAGTAAAAAGACTGATGACAAGGTCAGTAAAACCAAGCTCACCTCCTCAGTGACCTCTAAAGAGGACTCATGGACTTTGTTCAAGCCTCCCCCAGTGTTTCCAGTGGACAACAGTAGTGCTAAAATAGTGCCCAAGATCAGTTATGCAAGCAAAGTTAAGGAAAACCTCAACAAAGCAACACAGGCCAGTGCAGAGGCAGCTCTGGCTCAGGCATCTGTAAAGCTCTCCCAGGTGCCCATGTCTGCTGTAAAAACATCTGCCGGTTTTACAAACGGCCCTGTTTCAGGAGAGGCTAATGGGTGCCCCTCTGTGGGAACGTTGTTCAACTCTGCTGCTAGTACTGCACCTTCTGCCTCCTCTAATCCCGGGGAAGAGAATGTAGCATCCACTCTGGACACCAGTTGTAGCTCCTCAGCTTGTCCCTCAGCTCCAGAGCCAAGAAAATCTAGTCTTTTTGTTTACCCACATAAACCTTTAAATATGCAAACTGCGCTCCCTAGTGCCCGCCACACGGACGACCCTACTGCTCAGACAAATCAAAAAGCCCTCGGGGACATCTTCCAGAACCAGTGGGGTCTGTCCTTTATCAATGAGCCAAATGCAGGCCCAGAGGGAACGGGCACTCCTCAGCTGACTGTGAGCGGACTCGAGGTGGCGGACATCACGTTTCAGGGGGAGAGCCTTCCGTTTTTCAACCAGCCAGGCCTGGATCCAACCTCTGTGGTTTCTCTCTCTGCGCCTAAGGAGGTGGAGACAAGGACTAGTGGCACAGATGCTGCTTTGAAAGCCTGCTCTGCTTCTCGCACTGCCAGTGAGGACTCTCCACAGGTTCAGCCAGAGAGTCAGGAGGAGCAGAAGGTAGAGAACAAAATTCCAGAGGTTTCTTGTAAGGATTTGGATACAGAGCCTGCAGTGACCCAAGTTGTTAACAGTTTGGTGGGTCCATCCAAGGCACAGAACTACATAAAAGACCATGACAGGGCAAATAGCTGGGGATTGTTTGATCTGCGAGCTGCTGTATTCTACCACACTAAAGGTAATATTTTCTTGTCCCAGACCAAAAGTGAATGTTTATGAGGAATTAATGGAATATCTGATTTTAAAATTTATTTTTAATAGGTATAACAATGATTTGAATATGTACACAGATTGTTATATACACATTATATAATTTTTAAATGTATAAACAGTGCTTCCACTTACTGTGTATTGAATAATTATTTTTGTCTTGCAGAATTTGAATATCTTGTCAGTCTTCGAAAGCAAGGTGGGTGGTTTTAATTTTCTATTAATATTAGCCTGTTTCACAATGCGCTGCACTACAGCCCCCAGCATGCACTGCAACGTAATGTGCGCTCCAGCTCTCCTACCCCTAACAACAGTCTATGGGACAGCGGTTACGCCTCAGTTCTGTACAACTCTACGCTATTCCACACCAGTCAAATTACCAAGCACTCTAGCTGCATTTCAGCTGCAGTTCAACCAGTATAAACACTTAACTTCAGCTGAGCAGCTCAGAAATTGAGCCTAAGCATTAATGAACTTGCAGCAAAGAAAAGATGCCAGGTGTCCAGTTCAAGCAAATAGATAGGTTTAAAAGACAGAGCACCTGGGGACATTTAAATTTTGAATATTTCAAGCATTTGTGTAATATTTTAAGGTGTACTACAAGTGTCTATATTTTACTGCTGAAGTATTTGCATATTTAAATAAACAATGGCCAGTTTGGGTTATAGCTCAACATTATTTAAAAATGGAAAAAAAAATCTTTCGCCCATGTATTTGTGGAGGGTTTTTTATATGGCCCTTCAGTGGTTGAGTTTGGTATAATCTGGTATAACGTATAGTGTGGGGGGTACACTGATGTAGGAATTGTGGGCCAATATCCAAAGTACATATCTGCCAATGCCTACACCAATACACAAAAATAAGGAATGCATAAGCATTGTAGAGAAATGTAACCTTTATTTCTATGGGGTTACAAAAGTGCAGTAAAATGATTAATTTTTTAGATTTTATTTTATTAACTCAGCCTAAACATTCTACTCTTCTGGAGTACGAGTAATAAATCAAATAACAGTTTAACCAATCTGATTCCAATGTTGTTGTGCATCCCTAGTTTTTTCTAATTATAGATATATTCTTGAGGGCAACTGCACACAATCAGTTGGTTTGTTATTGTTTGGTCCATGTTTTAAAATTAAAATTACTCCATCAAAATCTGCAGATTACTCAGTGACTAACAATCAGTAGTGACAGCTATATATTCTATTTTCTGTGTTTCCCCTCTAGATCCAAAAAGGGTGGTGTACTATGAGGAGACCCTGGATGGACCTGATCATTGAGGTGCTGAGTGCCAGTACTTAGTTTGCTCCACCTTGGGTGCTACAGTCAGATCTGACCTGGATGTTCTCTTCTTAGAATCGAATCGGACCACATTTTTTCTTTCTAACCAGAAGAAATTGAAATGAGGAGTATGGCGAGAACGGCATTTGCATCAGAAGGGATAACTATTGTACTCTTATATCCTGGGATTTCTGCAGGGATCTTCTGCAGATCAGATTGCTATGAGCTGTTCAGAGGCATTGGACTACACACAAACTGATACACTATAGCATCTGAGGGAAGTTCTGAGCACTACTTGTGTGACAGACACTGACCTTTTGGGTCAGCTAGCAAGAATGAGGAAAACTGGAGGTGTGAATTGTACCTCCTGAGCCTTTCTGCTCCATGTGGCCCTTTTGAGGAACGTTCAAGATCCACAGTGGATGCCTCAGTCATTTGATTTCTTCCTGCATTCAGATCAGTTCATGTATGACTGCTCATTTAATATTTTTAAGCAGTGCACATGTACAGTGAGAGCGTTTGAATACATCGTGAACAAAATGAAATTCTGACCTTCAAAAAAAAAAATGCCTTGGAAATGTAATCATAATGCCCAGGAATAAGGGATGGCATAAGGCCAGCCCTGTCAGGTTGGTAGAGAAAAGGAGTAGTCTTAACGTTTGGTCTGCTGGGAAAAGGCCCTACAGAAGCATTGCCTGACGTTTTTATTTTTCTTCTTAGTTTTCGAGTTTTATTTTTTTGATCCAGCCCAGGAATGAAAGCCTAATGTAATTCTGGGTTGACCAGTCAGAACCAGAGTTGCTTCATTTTCCCTGCAAGTTTCATGACGAACATTTTAAGACTGGCTTCTCAAATTAAGTCTATCAGATAATTTTCATGTTTTTATTTCTGCAGAAACCCTTTACGCAGAAGTAACATAGTCACAGTATTATTAACTCCCAGCCAGTTGAAAGGTTTCTTAGAAAATAAGGTGTTGTTTCTCACATCCTTCAGCAGTCTTGTAAACATTTTACTTGAAGTAAACAGCAGGTTGTTGATTTGAGAAAACGGAAAAGGAATGACTTACTGGGAAACAGGCTGTAAAGAAAGAGTACGCGTAGTTTTTCCACAGGGTTCGAGCATCGTACCTCGTATCACACTGACCCAAGTTGAATTTTACCAGCTGTGACCGCAAGAACATGATTTCAACATCCTCAAAAGCCAGCTGTGGTTGGAAGTGCTGTGCTTACTCTTTCTGATAAAATTTAGGTCTTACGACTGTAATTTTAACCGTAGTATTTCTTTGCACATTTTCGTCGTGAGAGCTATTGTTATTGCAGCTGAGTGCCGACTGAAACTGCTCAAGGTTGGACAACGGCAATACCAGGCAGTCACTGTCAGTAACCAGCTGGTTTTGTTAAAGCCTCACCATCTACTGTGACATTTCATGAGCAAGGCCTTTCTTTACAACTCTGTGGTACACTGTGTCTAGAGTTATCATGGTATACTATCAAAGTAACAGTTTTTTTGATCATCCTGGCCAGACAGACCAAAGATTGGGCCTCAGTGTAGATGCTGATTTAGTCCGTTTAACCATCTCTTAGGCTCGGTTTGAATAATCAACCTTTCTCGCAGAGATTTTGGATGTTGGTAATTTTGACGTTTTTAACCAAGCAGAGGTGTTTCGTTCATCATGTTGAGTAATAGCACTTTATGTAAACATATTATTTTAAAACAAATGACTACACCTATCTGAAACACTTAACACGAGTTACTAACTCCTGCTTAGAATGGCTTTGGGCTGTTGTGTTTCTAAGAAAAAAAAATAGAATAACTCTTTACTCAGGTAGAATTGGGGAAGCCATTACAAAGCAGAGTTTTTTTTTTTTTCTCTTCATATGGTGCAAAATGATCCTGGCTGATTTTGTGTTTCATGTTACTTTCCAGTCGTCTTCTTTCTTTCTGTAGAAGAACATCTGATTTTTCACCACTGCTGTTGCAAAAAGACAAAACAATAGCCTCCAAGATACTGGAGCACTTTTTTCCCTTGGGCTTCTCTTTATACCCCTTTATATGCAATAGCGGGAATCTTTCACTGTCTAGGCCCCTTTTTCAGCATGTGTATTGCTTGCGCTGGGCACAAGGCACAGCTTTTACTTGCATATTGAAAAGCTATGACAAAGTTAACACAGCCCACAGTCAGCGCCTTCATGTTGGGAGTAGGATGACTTGAAAGATATTTATAAAACTGCTTTGTCTGGCCTCCTTCCTCCAAGCAGTGGATTTGGGTGAATGTTATTTGATAAGTCTGTTTTCTTGGCTAATTTGTTTTACCCTGAATCCTGTTCTTAATGGCTAAGAGTGCATTTGTTTCGGCTGTTATTGAGAATCTCTCTGAGGAGCGATTGGTTGATGTTTGCCAGGTGGTCACATTGATAGCCTAATTATTGTGGTAGCTTTCGTGGACTATAGGTAAGGGTGTAATGATTCTAATACAGTATTAAAAAATGGAAAAAATGCATGAAACAGTGAAATCTTAATTTGTGTTTTGAAACTGGGTGAATCCTATTGTAGTAAGTGGGCAGGGCTTGTGCTCTGCACTCAACTGTGATCAAATGACTGAACTTTAAGTGATTTTTGGGACATTTTGTCTTGTATCAAACCAATCTGGAGCAAATGCAGAGTGATTCAAAAAGATTCATCTGATTTTAAAATGATTTATTTCACCTGTGAATCATTACAGAACAATGCAGTAAACTGGTTTAAGTGAGCATAAAGTTTATTGTGTAATTTTACAAGAGCTCAGTATGAACCTCCTCCAGCTTTACGGACAACATCAACGCAATAGTCGAATTCACCCCATACTCGATTGAGCATGTCGGGTGTCGCTGCACTCACGGCTCTTTCAATGCAATTTCAGAGATCATCCAGTGATGTGGAACCAACATCACTGTTGGAGGTTCACTGCTGACAAAAAATCACGTTGCTCAGTTGTGACAGATTCACAAAAGGTAAAGACCCAAAAGGTTTTCTCCCCAACTTAGTCTTCTCCTTTTCCACCCACTAGTTAGGACTCCCCCAATCACGCAATGCTAGTCAGCGCAGGTGTCTGTTAGCTGACGTAACAGATCTGGCGGTTGGCGCTTTCCTCCGAGCACGTTCAGCTGTCCAGTGACGTTGCGTAAGCAGCAGTTCGAAAAGATGCGGTTGCTGGCTTCACGTCTCGAAGGCAGCCTCTGCTAGCCTTCACCCTCCTAGTGCTGGTAGTATCGTGTGATTTTTCTCTTGGACTCCCGGCTACGGATGGCTGTAGCATCACCAGGGATCGAAATCACAATCTCCTGATGATAGGGCCAACGCTTAGATGGTTGCACCCCGCAAAATGCTTTCTGCTCAGGGGTTGCCATCTCCTCGGAGACTGAAGGGAGCCGTCTTCCAGTGACAGAAACTCTGACCCCCTCTTTCAATTGGTATGTGATTGGTTCCTAGGCGCCTCACGGTTGTAGAAATATGGCGCTTTGAAATCGGATGAATCTTTTTGAGTCACCTTGTATTTAAAGCTCTGCAGAAAAAGACATTTTGACATTTTTACCATACAATGTGTTTTATTACACCCATATCTATAGTAATAACTCTGTCTGCCTCTTGTGGCTTCTCTGGGAATGAAACACATTTACAGATGAGAAGCAACTTGCATATTGAAAGCTTTTATTGTCTCAAATTAGTCGACACATGAGTGAAGCAGTCTTTTTATGGTGGGCCTGATGGTAGCAAAAACCTTCACCAAACAAGTGCCCAAGGGTATTATCCTTAAATTACGCCAACTGCCCGCTAATTTAAGTATCTGTAATAGTGTTTAATAACATAACAAATCATTTCATTGTAATATTTTTTTGTTCAAACATTTTGGCATGATTGGTTCATGTTTTCACACTGTGTAATAATTAACAGCTTTTATTTAAAAAAGAAAAAAAAAAGAAATGAGCTTAGATTGGTGGGGAGATGCTAATTATCAAGAGTTCCCTTAAGTATATTTTGAGAGCACTTATTTCATTTTTGGCAATATTTTATACAAAGATGCAGAAACTGTAGTAGATCTATTTAGGTTTGTTATTTTAGTGGTTGGTTATTTTATTTGTAGCTGTTGAAACCAAGTGTGTGGAGGTGAATGAGGCTGTGAATTGGAGATAAAGGATTGTTTGTATGCTGGATTGTAACCTCGTGCGTGTGTGTAATGCTTCCCCTGAAGATGTGCAATTGCATTCAAGACGTTTTGTGCAGGTTTACCTGGAAGCCTGCTCGTGTGCTGACTCTCCTTAAGATATGCAAGGTCCCCTATGTGGTGGAAACTCCTGTTGAACTGATATACAGGTGCCTGAACAAACAGTTCGATTATTATTTAGATGATCTAATATCTTGGGATTTTTAAAAATATTGTATGATTACTTGCTTCAGAAATAATCAGTGCCATGTTTTTTTTTTCTTGTCTTTGGTGAACAGTCTTTCTTTTTCTTTTTTTTAATACTGTTAATGTATGTGGAAATGATTTTATGATTCTTTCTTTCTTAAACTTTGAACAGCCAGGTAACATCCGTTTTAGATGTCACTGTCTTTCCAGTGGGTCACTATCATAGTCAGTGTAACTTATAATTGTGATTAACAGGCAGCGCCTAGTGACGTAGGGCTTATAGGTGAAAATCCTTTCAGAGACCTTTTAGCGCTGATTTTTATTTCCTGTCTCCATCTCAGATTAATTAATAATTAAAGTGTATGTTAAATAAGCTGATGTCAGTCGTTCTTTATTTATTTCAAATGCAGAAAAGTAGAATTTCTAACTTTTATCGAACACAATTGGGAGATGTGAGATGCCGGTTTTAGGTTTAGTTCTAAAGGAAGTGAGTTCTATTTAGCTGATGTTAAACGCTTAATTATTGATTTTATTTTATGTTTTAAATAAATGAATCGTTGCAGCCCTACGGCTGGTTGCCAGGGCTGACTTGGTTGAGTTAGTTGCTGTTAGCGGAGTTTACCATGTAATAGCAGCAGCAGTGTTTTAATTTCAGCCCTTGTTTTTGTGCATGGATGGAGAACGATGCCCTGTGAGTTATCTGATGTTAGTTTGGGGAAAGAGAGGGAAATGGACTTGCTAAAGGCTGGAGGAGTACTTCTTAACCAGGACCCAGCTGATGAAAATTGAATCACTAATACTGAGTTGTAGGAGCTGAAATTCTGAAAACGTCAGTCGATGTAATTTTATGTTGTCAAAAAAAAGAAAATCTGATATTTTTAGTTAAATCATGTAAATGGAAATCAAGCTATTTAGAAAGTCTTCAAGCAAGTGAATCACATGGACAATGTTAAATAGCAAAATGTGATTCCTGTCTAATTTTAAGCTAAATTATCTTTGCTTTAATGGTGGGATTTCCACAGATCTTAATATCGGCTGATTTTAGCAGCCAAGCGATCTATCGGTTGGGCCCTACTCTTCATGTTTGCCAAAGGTACGCTACATGTTTTTAGCAACATCCGAGTTCGACATGTGGACAGATTTGGTGATCGTGGAAAACGGGTTGATGAATCCGAACAGTGAGGAGCTGTGGGGGGTCATACTGAACAACTAATGAATCCCTTTGTCTGTAAAGGGGAAATGCTGGATCTGTGTTTGGCTCCACATTTGTCTCACTGCTCCGTTTGCCGGCTCGGCCTCCGGTTCATCAGAGCCGGTACACCTGAAACTTCACTGTGTAGTGTATCCTCATGCCACCAACTGAGGTCTTTCTGGGTTACAAGGGAAGCGCGTGTGTGAGAGAGAGAGCGAAGCGGAGGATTCTCACTGTGCCACTGTACACCTGATCAGGTGGCGGTGTAGTATTGTGTAAATAACACAGTGCCATGTCATAACA